GACTATTGGCGCAATGGAAGGCGCTCAGCAGCTGTATCGCACTCTTGGATACGTTGAGCAAGTAGAGTGCGAGAAGCAGCACAGCTCGTTTAAGCTTGTACGTTTCCAAAAAAACACTGTAGTCTCCCTATAAATACAGGAACCACATGCGCAGCATCTTCGCTATTGATCACATCATATAATGGAGCAACAGGAAGACCAGCAAGAAGTTCTATCAGCTCGTGTCGCTGCCTTAGAGCAGCGGTATGCTGCAAGTCTCGCGCAGTCTAACGGCTTAACACTGGAATTGTCAGGTCTACAGTTGACTGAATTCCCAACTCTCGAGGAGCTAAGCAGTAAATTCCCACGTCTTCGGGAACTGAACATTCGCCGGAACGCGTTGCATTCGTTACCGGAAGGTTTGGCTCGAGCATTCCCGCAGCTCGTCTCTCTGAATGCATGTGAAAATGCACTTGAAGAGTTGTCTGCAGCTTCGATCGGGGCTTTGCGTAGCCTTCAGCGTCTTAACGTTGCGCACAACCGCATCCGTGAGCTCCCCGTTGCAACGTTTGAAAGACTGGAGGCTCTAGAAGAGCTGGACGCGAGAGGGAATTTCATTGAGAAGATCAAACTTGACAGCGAGGACGAGAAACTGCCGGTCGGAGCTGGACTGTGTAAGCTGCAAGTGCTTCTACTAGCGGACAATCGACTTCAAACGATCGACCCAACAACGACCGATGCTCTGCCCAACCTACGAGTCATCGATCTAAGCGGGAATCCCGACCTAACCGAAGCTCCTGAAAGACTACGACGTTTACATGAGCGCAATCTGCTACTGCACTCGCGTACTAAGCGGCGTGAACTGATCACCCGTGCGTTGAGCATCCGCAAGGCTGTCGCCCAAGCTCTCGCTACAGCCCCTGCATCCTCACCGAAAAGAACCAAATAGAATAAAAAACAATTGAAAAAAAATCTTTGCCTCTTGAATATTGTGTAGGAGTATAATTTATTCGCTGATCCACCATGGCAGGAAGGTATTGAAGTGGATGAGGCCTGTTTTCGGGTCTGCGAGACTCGCAGCAGCGACTGCCAGTTCCTCTTCGTCGAGAGTCTCGCCTAACTGGAAACAAAGCGCGTCCAGTTGCCTCGTGGAGATGGCCCCAGTGTGAGCCTTATCTAGTGAAGAAAACACGGTCTTGAACGCCTCGAATCGCTCCAACGTGAGTCCCAGCGCAGCGTAGTTGACATCGTAGCCGCTTGCCATCGTCTTGTCCACAATTGTAGAAAATCTCCTGAGTGGTCACCCTTCCAGCAGTCGGTTGAGCTCATCCAGGACCATTTTGGCGGATGGTCGACTGTCTGGATTCGGATTCAAACAGACCAGTGCCAATTTACGGACGTCTTCAGGACAGTCAAGCGTAAAGCTCGGTTGTAACTCGCCACTTACCACAAGACTCAGAATATGAATCGCCTCCATCTTGTCTCCGTCTGATGTGCGTGCGTCGAAGAATGGCAATTCTCCAGTGTCTAACTCAGCCAACACAACACCCAGCGAGTAAATGTCTGCCTTCTCAGAGTACTTGTGCCCAGCCAACACCTCGGGCGCAATCCAGTACGCCGTGCCCACGCCACTTGTCATGGTCTCGTCACCACGTCGCATTCGACTGACGCCAAAGTCACTGAGCTTAGCTTCGTACTTGTCGCCAATCAACACGTTCTTTGACTTCAAGTCGCGGTGCACTACTATAGGCTTGAGACTGTGAAGATATTGAAGACCACAGGAGATATCTCGAGCGATTTTCGCCTTGTGAGAAGCCCACGAGAACTCGTCGATGCTGTTGTTTCCACTGGACGCGTCTTTGGCTCCGTT